ACCTCTTCCCAGGGTGCCCACACACTAGCCTCCCCCGGGTCCCCTCCTTTCTCTACAGAGGCTTCCCCATGCAAATCTGCACTCAGGACTCAGGATTAAAACCACGTTCACATTCACCTCAACTCGGGCTCCCTCTCCCCCTGACATGATGTCTGAGGTCATGGACCTTGTGGGCTGGAACGTGCATCAGTGCTGGTTCCTCCTCTTTCTGGTGGTAGCACCCGCATGTGAGTATTCTCTGGACAGAAGTTCCAAGTTGGCATGGGGCGTCTGAGCCCATGACTCACTGTGGGTCTCTGTCCCCAGGTGTCCTGTCCCAGGTGTTTTGGGACCAAGAGTCGGGACCAAGCCTGGTGACACCCTCGCAGATGCTGACCCTCACCTGCTCGTCTCCAGGTTCTCTATAACCAGCTATGGTGTAAGTAGGGTCTTCCGGAACCCTAGAAATGGGCTGGATTGGATTCGTGGTATATGGAGTGTTGGAAGTACATACTATAAACCGAGTCTTCAGTTCCGAGTCAGCATCTCCAGTACCCCTCCAAGAACCAAGTTTACCTAAAACTGAGTAACTCAGTAACTGAGGACACAGCTGTGTATTATTGTGCAAAACACACACAGTGAGGGCAAATCCCTGTGAGCCCAGACACAAGCCTGCTGAGGAGACAGGGGAGCTGCAGGGGTGCGTGTGACCACCAGGGGGTACTGTGATCCAGGGATTCCAGAGCTGTGCTCTGGAGGCAAGGGGAGAGGGGAAAAGAGGCTGTAAAGGGGGGGGGGGGGGATTCTTTACTCTTTAAATATATGAATAAAATTTAACATATTACCTAAATACATTTTAATGCTTTTTTTTTTGCTTTTTTGATGGGGTGGTCACACCTGGTGATTCACAGGGTTTACTCCTGGCTCATGCACTCAGGAATTAGTCCTGGTGGTGCTTGAGGGACCATATGGGATGCTGGTAATCGAACCCGGGTCGACTGCGTGCAAGGCAAACACCCTACCCGCTGTGCTATCACTCCAGCCCCTTAATACATTCTAGTAATTGCTTTCTCTCCTATTACAAATTTGCTTATTTCTCTTCCTTTCTCAGAGTCCACTAGAGACTGTGCTCTCCTACTAGGTCAGATGTTGTTGATTTTTCTTTAATCAAGATCATTTCTTTTCACAGAAAGGAGAGATTTCCCTCCTTCCCTTCTTACTGTCACTGAGGGAACATGATGACAATAGACTGAAAATTGATGCTTGTGAGCCACAAACTCCCTGAGCTTCTACCAGTACCAAATACCCACAGACCCCCACACTCTGCTGTGGCCCCTTTGCTTTGCCTCTTCTTTCCAGTGATCTAAGGCCCCACCTGACTCCTCTCGGGAACACCAGAGTGTGGTCAGGGACCATTATCATTGTATACTGTCCATCCTAACGCTCTGTTCTCTGTGTCCTAGACTTGAATGAGATTGTCTGAATTTGTCCTTCTCCCTCTGACAAAATTCACTTAATCTGATGTACTGTAGTTCCAACCATGATGCAGAGAACGCTAATATTTTGTCTTTTCTTTTTCTATTTTTAACAACTGCACAGTATCCCTTTTTGTATACACACCACAACTTCTTACCATGAAACTGTCATTAAGCATTAGGGTCATTTCCGTGTCCTAGCGAGTATATCAAATGCTTCAGTGTATGTTTTCTTATAACTTCTTAATTTGATATTTTCACCTTTGGGTGAAGGTATCTAGCTTGAATCAGTGTGTTATATGGAAACTCTATTTTCACTTTTTAGAGAAATCTCCTACTGTTTTTCATAGACATTAAATCATACAACAAGTGAGAAAACAGATCTGCTTTTGACAACATCCCAACTCTTGTTGCTTTGAGACTTTTTCTGATATAGATCTTTCTCTCTGATATCTCTCATTGTCCCTCTGATTTATATTTCCTTATATTCCCGCCATCTTTCTGTACTTCTGGAAGCCCAGGAAGTCACGCACATATCCCAAAGTCACCACCAGTTTAAGATTAAACTTCAGCTATACTACCTCTTTAAAAACTCTGGATTTCCTGGAGTGACATCTCAAACCCCAAAATTGGATCAAACAGGAGTAGCATAGTAGATTGGACATTGGGTGGAATGTAATGTGGAAGGCTCCGATCTCAATTAACAAGATATAATCACTGAAGCCTGAATCTGAGAGAGAGAGAGAGAGAGAGAGACAGAGACAGAGAGACAGAGAGAGAGAGAGGAGAGAGAGTGGGAGAGAGAGAAACATAGACAGTGACAGAGACGGAGTGTCTCCTGTGCCGACTCTGCTCAGCAGCTCCTGCGTAATCTGGTCACCAGGCCCCAGGAGAGGGTAGGACTGTGGCAGGACAATCATTCTCTGACTTCTGGGAGGGGCTGATTCACCATCTCCAGAGACCCAGGAACCCTGTGACCTGCCTGACGGGGAGCAGCCTGAGAGCAGGTGACCAGGGGGTGTGACTGTGCAGTGGAGTCTGGGTCAGTCAGGGGAGCCCAGACAGCCCACTTCTGCTGGGACACGGGAGAGGCTGCAGGGGCGCTGTCGACCACCAGAGGGCACTCGGGAGTCACCTGGGAAAAGGCCTCAGCACCACCAGTTGCAAAGAAAGTCACCATGTGCTAGAAGCCCACACAGGCCAATATTCTTTCACAGCACAGAGACACTCAGCTCCCATCACCCCACCCACTCCCCTCCATGCACAGTTCCAGCGTCTTCCCTAGGATCCTTCCCCATCGCTCCCAGAGCAGCTCCACTCTCAGTGATACCCTCACACTCCCAACCCCCTCCTTGTGATCTGTCCTCCCTGTCCCCCACACTCACCCCACCAGGCCCACAGGACTACAACGCCTGACAGGATATTAATCGGTACTTTCCTGGTTTGTTATTATTTGTATAGGTGTCTCTTTGATATTCATGTAAGATGTAGAACAGCTTTTCCTCATTTTTCTCCCTCCTTCTAGAAAGCTCCTGTGACCTATTTTAAAGATCCAGGATTGAGAGTAATCCAAGATGCCTTTAGTCATGAGTAAAAGGCATTATATATCCCTGGACTGGAAGACTATTGAGAGTGAATCTCCGTCATCACACCCTAAACACACTTACAGAAACAGGAAGCACTGCAGAGAGCATGAGGGAGGGGTTAGGAGTGGGGGGAGGAATACCATGGGCCAAGGGGAAACACTGGGGTGAGGGGTTCATCCACTGTTTTGAGTGTGATTATCACTGCACAGGTTTGCCTATATACGTCAATGCTCTGAAACATAAATGTCCTATAAGCCATTAATCTGTGTAGGGCGCAGACTCAAAATAATGCTTACAGGGTAAGGAGAGATGGAGCCAAAATTTGTGTTAAGAATCACACTCCATGCACCTCCATGCACCCTGATTCCAACATACTCCAGGTGAACACAAAATTAGAATAAAGACAACTTTTTCTCAATATACGGAAAAAGTTCTTGACAGTTGAATAGTCTATATTTTGTTTATGTTGTTAGTTTTGTTTTTCTCTTCATTTGGTTTTGGTTTTAGGTCTAGACCCAGTGATTTTCAGGGTTCTTCCTGGATCTGTACTCAGGAACTACTCTTGAATGTGCTTGGAGGACCACATGGAACATAGGGGATCGAACCTGGTCTGCCGTGTGCAAAGCAAGTGCCCTACCATCATACTATGTCTAAGTCCCTGTTGGTTTAGTTTTGTCGTTTGTGCCACGTTGGGTATACTCCTGGCTCTATACTCAGTGGTCCTGTTAGGTGCATGGGAAACCACATGAAGTGCAGGAAATGAACCTGATGAACCACATGTTACTGGGCCCGCTCGAACCACATGCAGGGGACGAACCTTCCTTCTCTACTGCCTCTGCATCTCTAGTTACAGAGACGATCCTGGTCAGCAGAGACCAACCGTGGGATGCTGTGAGTATGAACAGACAGACAGACTGAAGAGAAAAAGGGTGTCGCTCAGGGGACTAACTCCCTAGTGGACTGAGATCTCCAAATGCCCATCATATTGAGAGTTACTGCTTAGAACCAGGAATCGTCAGGAGACGACACTCTTAGGTAAATTTTCTAGCTTAGTCTGTCTGGGCTTAGCTCTTTTACATATGAGGGTCTTAGGTAATTGGGACAAATACATTTAAGCCCAGAACTGTTTCCTCTGAGATAAAGAACAAAAACAACCAACACATGGGCTTGCTACAGTGGAATTCAAGGCATCAAGGGCCCTGTTATCTGGCCATCTGCCTTACTCCTGATTCTGTCTTAACACTTGGTTCCCAAAACATTGACAACTGTGAGTGACTCAGTGGATTCCTTTTGTCTAAATAGTGGGACCAACTCTTAAAATGTATTTTGATTAGTAGTATCACTGTCCTCGCGTTGTTCGTCAATTTTGCTCGAGCAGGCGCCAGTAACGTCTTCATTGTGAGATTTGTTACTGTTTTTGACATATCGAATGCGCCAAGAGGAGCTTGCCAGGCTCTGTCGTGCAGGCAGGCTCTCTGAGAGGGATGGAGGAATCAAACCCATGTGGGTCGCGTGTAAGGCAAATGCCCTACACGCTGTGCTATCGTTCCAGCCCCAGTAAAACGCCTGCCAAGGAGCTGAGCATTTTAAGTACATTGTAAAAGCCATCTAAACTTTTGTGTGCCATATTATATCATTAAATAAAAGTAATACTGTACACATCATAAGATTTGTATTAAAAATAAACATTAAAGAATATCAATTAAATTGGTTGTCATGTATTAATCGCCTACTAGAATAGTAGAGTTTCTGACTCTTCCTGGTCACAGACACCCCAGAACCCCTCACCTGCTGTGGAGCCCTTCCTTCTCTCTACAAGTTCAAAGAGAACTTTTTATAGAGAAGGAGGACATGCAAATAAGACTATCCACAGTGATGAAAACAGCCGAGCCCAGCCTCAGCTCCGGGAGAGGCATCAGTTCAGGGGTTCCCAGGGGCTCCATACTGACTCAGAACCAACATGGTGTGTGGGCTGAGCTGGCTTCTCCTCGTGGCTGTGTTAGGAGGTAACTCATGGGCAACAGAGACACGGAGCATGGGAGAGATGGGAGAGAGAGATCCTCTGTGTGAGGAGAGTTTCCTGACCAGGATGTCTTTGTGTTTGCAGGGGTCCAGTGTGAGGTGCAACTGGTGGAGTCTGGGGGAGACTTGGTGAAGCCTGCGGGGTCTCTGACACTCTCTTGTGCAGCCTCTGGATTCAATTTTGGCAACTATTGGATGAACTGGGTCCGCCAGGCTCCAGGGAAGGGCCTAGAGTGGATCTCATGTGTTACTAATGATGGTCGTACATACTATGCCGACTCTGTGAAGGGCCGGTTCACCATCTCCAGAGACAACAGCAAGAACACGGTATCTCTGCAAATGAGCCGCCTGAGGGAGGAGGACACGGCCCTGTACTACTGTGTGAGAGACACAGTGAGGGGAAGACCGTGTGGGCCCAGACACAAACCACCTGCAGGAGGAAGCAGGGTGAGCTTCAGCGGAGCAGGCTCCCAGGAGGCTCTGAGAACTCTCCCCTGAGGAAACGTTTCTCATGAACAGATGAAAGATGTTTCTGTGGAGATCAGGACTGACCTGCCCCTCACCTCTCGGATGACCCCATGGGCACCTTGTCCTCTGGGTTGTGGCCCTGAGCCTCCATCCCCGTTTTGGGCAGTAATGACTTATCACACTCTTTCCTGATGAAGTTTCCAGTGACAGGATCATGACTTCTCTGGGGCCCAAGGGACACATTATTCTCTTGTAGAAATGAAAATGACCCTGTAGAATTATCATTGTCTTCTGTAAGAGTCACTTGATCAGAAAGAGAAATTCTGGTGTCTACTCAGCTGTGTGCTGGCTCCTTCCTTCTGCTCTCAGACAGACTCTGTGCCAACTGACCTGCTGCCGTTAAACTCTACTTGGTCACCTTACACCTGGGAGTTCTGTTCTCCTGGACAGCCTGACCTCTCGTCCTCTATCCACACACTAAGTGGACATTCAGATTTCCCCAATCCTTCTCCACCCCTCACCCATTGTAGAGGAGAGACCAGGTCCTGTGACGTGGGCAGCGCTGACCCCTTCACAGTGAGACAAGATGCAAGGACCCAGACCATCTCCCTGAGCCCCCACTTTCCCGACACCCCCAGATATGCCATACCCCAGAGCCCAGGGACCCTTTTTACACTGAGGCTCATGCAGAGACCATTGCAGGTGTGACTTTTAATGAATTTCTCATTGTGGACCAGCCTCAACCTCTGTTCACCCTCCTGAGACACTGGAACTTGGGGATTAGGATCTACATCCCCCTCCTGTCACATGGTGACACCACTGAGGCAGCTCTCCTGTTTTGCTGACCTTCCAATGTCACCTGTTCAACAATCACAAATGTGCAATGAAATCCTCTTCGCTTTGAAAATAGAAACAGGTTTATAGATTCAAAGTCAATAATAAAGTTAAACTGTGAAGGTGTATTTCTTATTAGAATCAAAGTATCAACCCAGGTACAACACGTCTAAATTGGAATAAAATGGAAGGATATCAAATCATTATGAAAACCTGTTATTATCCAAATGCAGATGTGTTTTCTTTGGTTTTGGGACTACATCTGGCATTCTCCATGTTTACTTCCTGTCTGTGTCCTGGTCCCCCCTGTAGTGCTCAGGGTATCTGTTAGTGGTAATGGATAAAGTCTTGAGACACTCATGAGCTATCATGTGCATATTCCATTGTACCTACCCATATTACTGTCAAGAACAAAATCATGAAAGTGTTTCTGTCATGCCGGGAGTGTCTAATAATGAGAAATGCAAAATGATTTATGGTTTTATTCATTTCTTTCATGTTTTAGTAAATTACTAATTATGATCCAGGATAACTTACTTTACATGTGTAAGGAATAAAAAACACATAAAATGAGAACGGGAGGATTGATAAAAGAAATATATCTTCATTAATGTACTGAATATAGAGTAAAGAATGTTAATAAAATCTTTAGCTAAAGTGAGATTTCATCAGTTTAAGAACGTTTTCATCTCCTTCCCCCTGTCCCAATGGGACTCAGAGGTGACACCCACATACGACCACTGTCTACTTAAAGTCCAGCACGGCCATGATCCAGACACATGCACATGAATCTTGGACCTGAGCAACTTGCTGCATAGATGTCTCTTGACTTTGCCATAGACCACTTTCACTGGGCCACTCCAGTCGGAGGTAAGTATCGTTCCTCCACCTGCCCCTAGGAATCCAGGCTTCTGCCATCTTCTAGAACTCACCAAAAAGCACAAAGTACAGGGTAGCAGTGACGGGAAACGCCAGGCCTCACAGAACAGGGGAGAAGTCAGACCTTCTCCTCCCCCCTCACCCCGATGGGACTCTGAGATGATGCCCACATATGGCCACTGTGTACTTACGCTCCCACACGGTCATGATCTAGAGACACACAAATGAATCTCACACCCCAGTAATTTGCTGCAGCTATCTCTCCAGACCCTAATTATTAACATTTAAAAATTCCTAGGGCAAATGAAGCAATACAAAACATTGTCTAGCATGGCTTTTTCAGCATGTATGAGTGGTGGTGGGACTGGTCTGAAATATTTAAGATAACCAGAGTAGAGAAGAGAGTACTGTGCAAATTGTCTGCCACACAGGCAGGGGGAGGTGTGGAATGATGGTGGTGGTGAGGGGATAATACTGGGGATTTAGGTAGTGGAAAGCTTGCACTGGTGAAGGGATGTGTGTCTGATGATTGTGTGATGAAGCTCAAACATGAAAACTTTGTTACGGTGACTCACGGTGATTCAATAATAAAAAGTGGGGGTGGGGGGGATAATGTTACCAGTGGGTTTTAGCTAAGTGGTTTAGGAAATGTTCCCATCATTTTGCATCTCCTGTTACTCCATTCCTTCCTGAGATCTGAGGTCCAGACTCCCTGGAAACTGCTGGTTTGAGTGAGCATGTGAAGACAGCACAGGTGAGGGCAGCGATGTGAGGATTCTGGGTCCTGAGCCGGCAGCTGTGCTGGGACAGGTTCCCCAGGACAGAGCTACAGTGAGTCGTGTGCTTTGCACACCAGAGAGTCGGTAAATCATCTCAGCATTATACCCTGTTTTGAAGAGACAGCGATAGTACCAAATTGGCGAAGAGAACTTCAGCCATACTGGGCACAGCTGGATCAAACAAGGATGGAATTTTGTCACCAAGATACAAGGGCCCCACGTGTGCCCACTCTTTATCTAGGTTTGTCTCGAATTCCTGACTAGTCTCTGGACTTCTCGAGCATCCACCTGAACGGTGTCCCCGGTAAGGTCCGAGGAAGTTGACTCCCTCCCCACCCAAGTTGTGTAAAAGAAATTGTTTTTTCCCCATTTGATCACGTGAATGTAAACATATCTTGGACCCCACACATCTAGTCAGGATGTGAGGCAGTTTTCTCTTTTACTGTTTTAAAAAAAACATAAGAGTTTATTTTGTCTGATCTTAAATACATGCTGGGATGTAGTTTTGAAGTATAAATCCAATAGAAGTCTTGGGGTCCTTGGTGGAGGTAAGAGGCCCTGCCCAAAGGTGCAGTGATGGGAAGACAAGTAACACTTCTTGTCTATGTCTCCTATTTGGCTCCGAGGGCTCTCACTGAGCTCAGGAGAACTCAGGGGCCACATTAGAGCTACCATGGACGTGACGGGGAGACTCACCCAGCCCCAATCCTCACACTGCCTGACTTGTTTGTGCATTTTTTATTATTTCAGTTCAATTTGGTTGAATTAGTGGGGTACAATTTTTGCTTTTGACTCTTAATGATGAATTAATTTTTAAAATCATGTTTTAGACCATATTTTATGGATTCTGGATTTATCTCAACCCCTGCACTGCATAGAAAAAGGAGTTACAATATGGGACACAGCCTGTGTCTAGACTCTATTCATCTGGGGGGTGGGTGGGTCATATCTGGCAGTGATCAGGGTTTGTGTACTTGTACCCTTGTTGCTGTGTAAGTTTGAGTACTGAGACCAGGCTCCCTGCCCAATAGATTGTGTGCTGAGGGTCCCTATGAGCTGTTTCTATATCCTGACAGGGTCAGGCTTCCTCAGTGATGATCCCAGTAGAGGATCCTGAGGTTCATGCTGGTTTATGGACACTGAGTTGTAGACAGGACAGAGCAGGGTCAGGCGCCCTTACCAGATCAATCACACCAGGCAGGTCACAAGAAAGGCTCTTCGTTTTCCATATATAAACCCAGCAACAGTGACAATGATCATTCTAACAACCATCTTGGCTCTACTTCAGGTGAGGGTGTTTTCATCTAGGTTAAGTGTGTGAAGAAACTAATGCAAAGTTTGATTGATTTTGGGTTGAAACACACTCTGTCAGAATTCACGGTAATAATAAATCTGACTGTTTGAAACCAAAATGTGGACAGACAGTGGGAGAACAGGAGCAAACACACAGGGACACGGAGGGGCAGGGGTCTGTCTACAGGGTAGATACCCTGGGGGAAATGGGTTTGGTCATCAGGAACCTGAGACATGGGGACTTTCCTTCCCAGCTGCTGTTGCCCCCTGAGCAATTCCTGTTTCCTGAGAGTTCCTCAGCACGTTTTTTTTTGTGCTGGAGAAAGAGGCCCATCTCTGACAGGACCCCAGGGACAGGCCTGATCCTTCTGACTTCCTCCTCAGAGTGTCAGGCTCTGAGACACAGAATGGGGCTCACAGGGTCAGGCTTCATTTGAGAGAAAGGCTCAGGATCTCGCTCTGCCCTTCAGCAACAGCGCAGCGGAAAATGGCTTCTCTGGAGAACACCTGGTGTCCCTCATATTTTCTTCCAGGATTTTGTGTGAAGTGACCAGATGGTACAGGAAGAACCACATGGAAGTTTGGGATGGTGTCCTTGCAGGTTCCTGAACTGTATGTAGTTCTACCCATGGCTGACTCCCAATGTTACACATTAAGCTTGAAATTCTGTCTCTGCAAGAAATCCTTTTCTCTGAGGTGAATTCCTTGTAGTGACCAGACCCCATTCTGGAGTTTCTGTGCAGACCTGCCCCTTTGTACATATTCATATCTCTATAATCCTGAGCTGGAATCCTGCCATTGGACAAGGGACAGTGAAGGAGATGACCCTCTGTGAAAGGGACCAATGTCACATTTCTCTTATCACGTGGTGTTAAGGAAATGGTCGGGGTGAGGTTCTGTAAAGTCCTGATGTTTGGGGCATATCAGCTCAGCTCTGGGGAAAGTCATGACACAAGCACAGACACATGGTCTGGGGTGTGCCCAGGGGGGCTGGCAGTAGCATGGACCAGCATAAAGGATATAGAGCAAGGCCTCAGGGGCTGCTCCCTCCACTCCAGTGTCATGCATCCCGGATGAGTTTACCTGGGTCTGACTTAACCAATTGACCAATATTCCTGGGAAATAAATGGTATTGGGTGAGACATTAATTTTTTTACATGCCGTGAAATCTGGGAATAACTAATTACAATTAATAATTTTCTTTCAATTGATATAGAGGACATGTATTCATGGATATATATCCGTGCACAAATGTATACGCTAGATGAGTGGAAAACAGAAATATTTGTATAAATGTATATATAATATACATATCCTATTAGTGTCCACTGGGAAGCCTCAGACAGCGTGACTACTTGATGGACTATCATTCATGCAGACCACAGTATTATTGGGAATATTCGTGCTTCTGCAGTTGGACTATGAGACTTACTTCTTAGGCTGAAACCAGATTCGTACCTGCACTTTGAAAACTGTTACCATATTTATCAAAATGCTCTATTTAAAAATGGGAACAAAACCCTTCCCAATGACAGAGAAAATGTTCATATCTGATGTGAGAGTATTTTCATTCCAGCTTCTAGAAGAACATTGAATATATATGAATCAGGACAATCCTTCAATCTTTGAAGGCACAAAGAGCACAATATTGGGGAAAGTTCTGACTGAGGTCAAAGCAGAGCACTGAAGAAGGGGCCTGACCTGAAGGCCAGCCTGGATTGTAAATGTGGTAGAGTAGAAAGACGCATATTCCTGGGACAGGGCAGACCAGAAGTCAAACCTCGAGAATTGTTCTCAATGCATCCTTCCTGCCTCAGCACAGAGCAGCTGTCTAGATGGGCCTCCTTGGTGACTGAACTGCTACCTACAGTTCAGGAATGTCAGCCTGTTCTCAGTCTCCCACTGTCCTCTGTGTGTAGTGAC